TCGCTCTTGTGAAAGCTTTTTGTTTTACCCTTATGCTTAATTACCCTCCGAGAACACGGCGAGACGCGATAAGGACTAGTCTAATCTGACCTTTATGTAGATAGCAGGAAAGATCTTTGCCAATGGAATACAGACTGGCTTTGGATAAATAATTTACAAAATATATTGGACAGAGAGTAATAGAAGCTATTTAAAATCTTGAATCTCTTGAGTTTACAGAAATCATATAACAAGGAAGAATTTATTTTACATATATTTATTGGTATGGTTTATTATTTTATAATTTATGCATAACATTCGATTCCAAAATAAAATTAAGTACTTGTTAAATACTAGTTAAGGCTAATTATTTACAGAGAGAGTGTCCTGAATTTAAATGTCAAAACTTCAGGAGTGCGTAAGGAATCGATAACTAAGAATAATGTTCCTGGAGAGATGCTCGTTTTTACTTTATTTTGTAGAAAATCGCAATTATAAATGTTTACTTATTAATATTATTTAGGAAAGTATCCTGGATGTCAAAAATGTCTACCTTTATTGTTTATAGTTTTTCAATTCTTTAAACTTTTTGGGAGAATAATTTACTTTTCTTGATTAACGTCAAAGAATTTCGATATGTTTTTCTTAATTTCTATTTTGTAAATCAATTCTTATTAATTTATAAAACATTTTATTTTGGATTTTTTTTACGAAAAAATATAAATAGTTTAAATAATTTAAATATGTTGTGTTTAGATCTTTTTATTGAAAGATGTTAAGTAGAAAAGATCGTATCATATGAATTGTATCCTGTAACTATTTCTATCTCTGATTTATCGCTATATTTAATAAATTTCCATGGGTTAAAAATTGACGACAATCTGCATACAATAGATCTCACTATTCTAAACATCGGACTCAATTAATTCTCGTACGTCGGAAAAATAACAAATAAATAATGAACTCTATTTTACAAATCTGACATAATATTTCAAACTACCAGCACAATATTATGTTATAAATTTGTTTAATCCACTCATGCTTTGAGAATGGAGGATAACAGAGAAAGAATAACTTTTTTATGACCGTTTGGGGATCGTTTTATTTCTATATTTTCTTATTTTTTTTTATAGAGAAAATTAACGTAATAACGATAGTTTAGACTCAAAGCAGAATGTTATTGATGACTCAATTCTGAATTAGCTTTTAAATGATTAAAGCATAAATGACAATGATTTTATAACAATATGAATAAAGGTTTTATTAACTTTATTTCACAATGTACTAATTTTTTTTAATTATAATATCATTATTATGATAATTTTCAGATTCTATGAAGAAAAATTCATAAAAAATGTAGAAATAAAACAATCTTTGAATGTGATGAAAGGAAAATTGTACTTTCTTTTTACATGTTTTTCGAGTTATTTATATGATATATCATTTATTAGCCATTGATATATCATATTTTTATATTAGCTGAAGCAAACTTAGAATTAATCAAGTCAAAATATTTCGCTTTAGTGGTATAATTTAGATATACATATATATATATTTTAATACTATAACATCTCATTATTGCTCATTCTGTTGGCCTTTAGTTTCTTTCATTTTTAAATAGTTTAAATTTGAATAATCCGTATTGTGAAACCGTTCGAGTAAATGTTGCGGCATAAATCATAAACGATAATCCCACATTGTTTCTTATATAAATTACGGAAGTCTTCCGAGGAATTAGAATACGTTGGTTCAAACGATGAAGGCTTTACGAGGACAAATCGCGTATCTCTAAAAGGTCTATGTTGAAATACGGACAGTCTCTCGTGAGTAATCCTGTAGTTTTCCAAGATCGAGTTCGTTTAAGTGCGAGCCATCTGTAGCTTTGAAAGTCATGCATGACTCTTTAGGGAATTCTTTGAAAAGCTGATAAAGCATCTATGATGCGATACTTTCTTTTTGTAACTGTGGCACACAACACTTTATGTCGACATGATAAGCCCATAAAAGTTGTTTGCATTTCTCTCTTTTTTATTATATTAATGCTACACAGTTTGCTGATTATTCAGTTCGCTATTTATTATTAAAGCATATAGAATTTTTGGTCATTTAATTAATATTCTATCTTCTTTTGTATTGTCAACGTATATTAATATACCAGGGAATCGGTATTACGCTTTTTATCTCTCATCAGTTTTGTACATAAATTTTATATATAAAATATATAAGTATATCCTGTCACATAACGCTATTATAAGATCGTTTTGCTAATCTAGCGAAACGATCTTATAATGATTACACAGTATATATAGTAGCGTAGAATCTACTAATTATGCAAACGGTGAGGGAACAGTTATCGCGGCCGTCGTGACAGTGATCGTCATCTATCCCATGGCAAAAGCTTTTGCCAGTTCAGCCGGACCTCGTCGAGTTCTTCGAGCGCATTTATCGCAAAAGAGATCAAGGCTCACTGCTCCATTCCGTTCACGAGCAATATCCCTTCTTGCAGCATCCAAGAACGCGACATTCATTCAAGTGACATTGAGATCACTCGATAATCTCTCGCTTCCAAATTCCCGCAGGATTTCTTCAAGACATCCTGTTTTTTATGTAGATTACAAAATTTCACGTACATATTTACGCATATACTTTTTCGTATCTATATCTAAACTTTTTTAATAATTTCAATTTTTTAATAAAACAATAATAATAGATTGCGTAAAATAAATATATAAAATAAAAAATATACAATGAAGTAATAAAAGAGAAGAAAGGAATCAGAGCGAAAAATATTGAAACACAAGATTTCAGAAATTCAGAACAGAATACTCTTTTTTCGTATAAAATTGCGTTTTGTGTTTATATGCACATTTTCTTTCCAAAAAGCGCGAATTACTTTTCCAAGTAGCATTTTAGTACCATTCGATAAACAATATGCGAAAAATTAAATTATAAAGAAAGATTCTATTAAAAAGTATAGAAATATGTTTGATTAATACAAATTATATGGCCTAGCTAACACTAAATATTCCTGAAATATTTGTAAAATGTTCCAAATATCTCAAAATAACATTCAAAGAATATCCCAGAATATTTTGAAATATTTATGGAATGTAAGAGCAACATTCAAATAATCGTTAAAAATTCTATTCATACATTACATATTCGGAGAATGTTCTATATATATTTGGCAACACTAAAATTTTTCTAGAATTTCTAGATTCAGAGAACACATTAAATTAATTTTTAAATGAAACTTTATTATCAAAAATACATTTTTTAATTTTTACTTTGGAGCTCAATTCACAAGCGAAATGCTGCTCTTCATATTCTTTTCCAAATGATTCTTATATTTACGAGTTAATGCATCTCTGCCGCGGTTCTCTGTTGACGTACTGCTTGCGAGTGATTGAGTGATTTTCGTGATGTATACAAGAAATGTTCATATAATATTCTAAAAGTTTCATTAATATTTGAAAATTTTGTGAATATATTTTGAATATACGGCACATTGAAAATATAATACGAATTGAACTTTTCGTAAATGATTAGCTGGGGAGATTTTGATAGAAGCCTAATTATTATTAACGCTAAATCAATTTACTTGATAGGTAAACGTTGAGGTAATAATAGGTATTATTATTTCTTTCATTTGAGTTAAGCTTATTCATGTGATAATGTATGAGCAGTAATTAGAACATTAGCCATTGTAATTAATGCCACCTCAAATTAATGTAAAATATATGTATACGACGTAATTCAAGCGGAAGTTCATAGAACCGCGGACGAAATACAAGTGTGAAATAGTTTAACAGAGTAACAGCAGAAAGGCCAACGCTGCTTCCTCGTTTCAGTTTAATTTGGATTAACCAGCAACTTCGTACATAGATTAAGCAATACATGGTCGACCAAACTTGGGTCAGTGACGACAACGCGTTGAGAAATTCTTTTCAGCTTTGCTGCATCCTGGCGTAGCATTGTGGATTAATTAATTAGTTAGCTGTAGCGAGAAATTATTATTTGTTAGAAATTAAAATTTAATGAAAAATACGTTAGCGAAGTTTTATATTAAAGGGAATTTTTATTACATTGTTAGGAAAATGCGAAATGTGATTATGCTGAAAGCTTGCTAATATATTCGTGATGTAATGCAGTGCTTTATGTGCAATTAGGCGATTCATCATTTTGCTTTTACGATAAGCAATTTTCAAAGATAAAATAATTTATAATTAATTATATAATAGTTCTAATATAGTTAGTTAAAATCATGTGATAAACGTATAGATGTGTTTTCGTTATAACACACTCGAGAACATACTGATTTCTCCCATTGTAGATAAATATGATATTGACAAAATAATATTGCTTTTTCATCGTTTTTTCAGCAATAAATATTTTAACGAAAGTATTTTCCATGTCTCATCTTGCATGGCTCAAGTAAAGCTTTCCAGTAACACGACATGTCCTAATTATTATATCCCACTTGAGAATTGATAGTATCTTCAGTTTTGCAATTCCTTGTCTTTTTTTTCTTGTAAGACGAATGGAACCAGAAGGATTCTATACGTCATAGTTTTTCTTATTACGTTCTACCCAATTAGTCTTTTCGTTATTCTTGGTTGCTCTACTCATTGTCGACGGCATATAGATTTTTTTAGCATCTACATCAAAAACTTTAGTACTCTTCTTTTCAATTCTTACACATATACACACAAATATACATTTAATTTATCTTTGTTCATTCTTTGTTTTCTCTTTTTCCTTTTTTCTATATTTTTTTTTAATTTATCGTATATTTGTTTTGTCTTTTAACTTTAACTTATACTTTAACTTATAATTAGTCTTTTTATTTTTCCATCTAGTTCACTTTTTACATTTGTTATCTGAACCTTTCACAGTTCAATGAATACCGTCATTAACGTCCTATACAGGATGGTTCTTCTCTTCAGCATTTCACATCTCCAATACTCTCAAACAGATGAAACTTTCTCGCCTAAAAGCTCCGTCTGTTATTGTTTTTCCAGGACCGCGAATTCGTGGAGATGGAAGTGCCGTACAACGGCGCTCCGAAGAGACCGGGCTCGCCATCGCCCCTGACCTCCCCCGCGCACAGCACTGCCTCCAGGGGCGGCCTGCTGCAGTCCTGCTGCGGGCGCTGCTACCCCCAACGTTACCAGGTACGCGGTCGACGTATACTCGCCTCGAATACCTCCATAAACGAGACCGCGCCCTCGTCCTCCTCCCATTCTCACCAATCGCAACCCGGTCGGTCGCATTATCAGCCAGCCCCGGTCGACCCGGCGACCGTGCCGAACGTCGTGTTCAACGTGCCAGGCGACGCCGACCGGCAGCGTCGCCAGGGCGCGAGCTCGTCCAGCCCGTACAACGAGACGAGAGTGTGAGCCGGGGTAAGGACTGTCGACGCGATCTTAATTATTTGGCGAGAGAATCCACATTCGGAATCGATTGCCGGTTATGAAACCGCATCGCAGTGCAACCCGGTCGACCTCATCAAATTCTAGACTGTCGATTGGGATTCTTGTTCTTCGGCGATGCTGGTTATCTTTGTCGGGTTTTCAACAGATTCGATAATCTAACATAACATTTTTTGATGGGAACAACAAATAATATTGCGAATTTGGTATCCGTAATGTATACTTCAGTGTATACTTCTTGTTGAAATTAATCACTTCATGCGCGACGAAAGTATTATTTCTAAGCTCTTTAACTAGTGGCAAAACGAATCGACCTTCTCACGCCAGAGAGAATTAAGTTGATACAAGAATGCAACTCGCACAAGGTTGACTAGGATTGCAGTCACATCGCGAATAAGGAATCTTAATTAAATGAACGTCTTCTCAAGGAGTGTTTAATTCGGATACGACACTTTTAATCGTCGCCACTAATGGAAAGCAGCTGTTTCCAACTGAATGAACAGTTTAACGGCCGGCAGCCAGTTGTCTCTTCTAATTCTTGATCCCTCAGGGTCGCTCTAGTCGCTCTCAAGTCAAAATTTACGATTATCTAAGGTTTCTGGTGACAAAGATTAACTACAATGCGTATCGCATATGGAGAACAAGACTATATATTATACTTTGTCTTTCTTTGCAGAGTACCAAAGCTACTTTATCTTGGTTTCTGTCATTGGTACAAAGTGCAGTTTCTCTTCTGATGAGAATATTAATTAATTGTTTTTTCTGTAACGTTTATTCTTCAGCGCGCTTAACTTTCTTGGAGATTAAATCGTAGATCTAAAGGAATTAATATGAAACTGATGGAGTTATCTCTCTCTCATTCAGGTCAAATCTTTCAATTCTCAAGATAAAGACAAGGACAAAATAATATTTCGTTGAAGGCAAGAATGGTTAATTATCTACATAAATTGAATTATAATTAATTAGCAGGTAGTCCACGATGGTTGCGTTAAATGAAAAAATTGTCGTTTATATTTTTACTTAGAATTTTATTAAATTATGTCATGCCAAATCAAGATGCATTCATATTTTATTTTTTTTAAATAAGAGATTGTTAAAAATTTTTATCCTATTATAAAATGATTATCAAAAAATTATGCACGTATTTAGATGAATATATTTTTTTATATAATTAACTTATTTCGAAGATTAATTTATGTATAATATTATTTATTTTAAAGAGTATGATTGTATAAATATTTTTAAGAGCTCTAATCTTTTATCCGAATAGCATTAAGTTTGTGAGAATTTTGTATATTATTTTTATAATATATTACACGATATGATAATGAAAAACAAAATTTCTCTTAAATGATGAAAGTCCAAATTCGAAAGATGTAAAAATGGTATAGATAAGGGAAGTTGAAGGTTAGATCGGATATAATCGAATTTATCTTATTTGCTCTTATAGATCATAAATTGAAGTTGAGAAAGTTAATTCTAGAGATAAACTCCAATTGTCGAAGAAGATTTATAAGTTTGATTTGTGTTGTCTCTCTCCAGCACTGCCGCCGTACGAATTTTGAACTGGTACTCTTAGGAATTAGATGCTAATCTTGATAATTTTATCGCCATTTTAATCACTATAGGAGCGCTGCAATTAACTGAATCGCCGATGTTTCGCTTACTTAATTTCCGGAGATTTATCGCTGATAATGTCCAGATTGGCAGACCAATGAGGTGTTAAACATGTGAGCGTTCTGTTCCGCTACATTACTATTGATTAATTTGTATGATTGCTCAGGTACGCGTTGACCGTAGAATCTTGTCCCATACATTAATCGTGACTTTAGTATTTTAACGTAGATAACTCAATATCTAAAAAGCATCCCAATATCTAAAAAGACTACTCATAATAATTACTATCTCCTTACCAAATTCTAAATCGATGAATTATAAGGATAGAATAATGCACTAAACTATTTGCTCTCCTCGTAATTGTTTCCATTTCTTAATATAATATATTATTTACATCAGTCCGCGGGTCCCATAATATTATTTAGAAACAAAAAATAAATTAAATCATCAGTAATTTTATCATCTTTTGATATTAATTTTAATATTAATTTAACATTAATATATTCTTTCGCATGATTGATTTAACGCTTTATATCATTTGGGAATATAATTTATAATATCATGTATTAAATAATTTATATTATGTAAAAAATATTTATTTTATGTTTTTTTTTTGACTTATCATGCTAAATGTGATTTAAATATAGAAAAATTTATACATCTAAGGAAATTATCTCGATCGGATTTGTTACATTGAAAGTACATTTATGTTTTCTGATTGCAATTTTTAATTTTCTTGAGTATATTTTTGTTTTTATTCTCGTCGAGTTTTGCTTGTTTAAGACTTGATCGTTTCGAATATCTTGTGAGATGGAATAAAACGGTCTGTTTTCTTTTGTAATTTTCTTGACTTTTTTCTACACTACATCATCTGTTTTCATTTCATCACTCTGAGTGATAGTTACGGAATACCGCGCAAAGAAAATAAAGTCGTCTTGCTAGATCTTTATACAAGAATCTTACAGTTGCATGCGTTCCTTTGGAATATTTTTTTAAGGATTGCGGAAAGTCATTATGTGATTATTTGAACGTTAAAATTTCTTTACTTTTCCACCTGTTTGATAGCTATAGCTAGATTATGTGGCAATAATTACATATCGGTAATATTTATGAATGAAATGTGATTAATTCTCATATTTTTAATGATACGTTATATCAATGATTGATACTTATATCATTGAGAGGAGTTTATATTGAATATTTTATTATTAAACTATCTCTCGATGTTTATGTGGCATATAAATGGGATTTCGAATGAATATTTTTCAATTTTTGAGCAATTTATTGAAGAGATTTTCACTTTTTTTGTATCAAACACAGATGTTTATACTAGTACTAGATCACTAATTTCGACTAAGTGCTGCAAATGGCCGGATTTCCGATTGATTAAAAAAAATGACCACTCCAATTATTTGGCACACACATGTACAAAACATACATATCGTACATATCAGGATTGATTAAGTTAATACACTTTTTAAAGCTAAATTAAGCTAAAGTTAACGATTTATAAAATTAATTTTGTTAAGTTTAAAATGGAACGAACAAAAAACTAATACAGTTGAAATTACGATAAGATTTAATTTATTTAAGTTAAATAAATAGTTAATTCTGAGAAACCTTACTTCTATTAAACCAGAATATTCAACTTTTTCTTAAAATCAGATTATTTTAAATAACAAAACAATTACAGTACAGATAATCAGATAAATTATATAAGATATTTTATATGTGTAAATTACATGAAATAACAAAGACATTTTTTGTATAATAAAAAACTGATTGTTAGTATTTTTACATAGGTATCTTTATATTTATATTATAATAGAAAAATAAATTGTAATTATTAAGAATGTAAGTAATGTTGTATGTACTCTTCTTCGTGTTGTTTGCTTGCACGTGCTTTGAAAATTATATATAAATAAAAAATTCTTATTCTTCCTTTATCGCTCATTAAGTAAAACAAGGATAGCATTACACACTGATAGCGTTTTTTAAATGCAAATTTAATTCACATTCATTTTTGTGTACTACCAACTATCTACTACGACCGTCGCGCCCATCAAATAATCATTGAGCTTTTTTTAAACTAATTCTCTAATGTTTAATATTTTACAAAAAATAAAATTAGCATTTTTAAAGAGATAAAGAGTACTTAAAAAAAGTTGATACATAAAAATTTTAAAGTAAATTATGTTAGAAAAATTAATTCATTAAAAATTCATTTAAAATTGACTAAATTAAGTTAGATGTTATCAATGTTTTAACTTTTTATGTAACTTGTAACTTATTAACTAATTACTACTACCCAATGCTGATACATGCATTACATATAACACATGTATATCGTCATTTTCTTGGCTCAAAGTAAGCAGTCCATTTCTAGTATAAATCTGTGATATCAAAGATGAAAAGCCGAGACAAATTTCAGAAATAAAATCGTATTATTCAGCGCATACCGATAGTAACGTTCGATAGCTCGGTAGAAATCTACGTTCAAATCGATCTTCATGTAATCGAAGCTGGTATTAACGAAAATGAGAAGTGATGAACAGCTCAATCGACCGACAAATTGAGGACGAAACATTGTCGAAATCCCATTAACAAATGCTTCTGATGTTTCAACTTTTATTTTTCATGATTTTGCCGTTTTATTTTTTCGTTCTGATTCTACTAATTTTTGGTTAATCCGTAATTTACGAATGTTTTAATTTACGAATAGGTTTCAAATTCTCATTATATACATACATTTTACACTTGTAAAATATTGACGGCAATTTTAAATGAGAATATTAGATTAATTATAATTTTTTAATATTTAAGTTCAAGAATTATTTGATCTAAAATTTTTTATTTTTATTGCTTAAAATTATTAAATTTTAAACTTTTTAAAATTTATTTACATCTCTCTTAAAACGGATGATTATTATTGTATTTTAAAGATTAGCAATATTGCTTAAAATATGCTTATATAAGATGTGTTCCGCTTTAGGCTTACAAAGCTTGTTTGTTAGTATCTTTTGTTAGTATCTTGTTTGTTCTTGTTTTGTCTTGAAGAATACTATTTTTTGTTAAAAATATTATTGTCTTCTGTTAAAATCTTCTAAATTTTATGGGAGTTCAAT